CTGGAGGTCGTGTCAGGGTTCAGCTCCTTCTGGTTGTTACTCAGAAACTAATACAAATCTTTTCTTTCCAGGTCAGTCTCAGGTAATCGGTCCATCTCAGCCAATAGTGGCAACACTTGGTGATTCCATCATTTTGACAAGTTATCTGGAACCTGCATACGATGCTATGACGGTGACGGTGGAGTGGGCCAGACCTGACCTGGACCCCAGATTTGTCTATGTGTCACGTATCGGTCAGGAACTTGAAAAACTGAAAAATCCTGTCTACAAAGGGAGAACATCAATGTTCACTGATGAACTGAAGCACGGAAACATTTCACTGAAACTCTCCAAAGTGAAACAGGCTGACGCAGGGAGATACAGATGCTTCATTCCTGAGCGAGATGAAGACACGTTCATGGAGCTTGTTGTCGGTAAGTAGATCTAGTGGTTAGTGAATGTGTGCATAGTTTTCACACAGCTTTCAAACTCTAAACGCATGTTTAGACAATAAATGTCTTCTCAGTTGGTTCATATAGTACATGACTGTTTAAGCAGCGAAGATTATGACTAGAAAGCTGAAAATTTATCTTCAGAGGAAATCATTTGAGCAGTAATGTTACGTACTTTGTGTCTGAAAAGGGTTCAAGTCATTCCTGTTGCTGTATGAATATCAAGCTGTGTTTTTTTTTAAATGACTTCATTTTTTTAGTCACATACCATCGATTCTACCAGCCTGAATGCCCACTTCATAGTTATTGTAATGTGACTATCAATGACTAAATTAGTCACTGAGAGGAGAAAAATGGGGCTCTGTCTGACATGCTGATGCCAAGAAAGAAGCCATTACTGCAGTTAAAGGTGTTTATTTCAACCCTTTTAATAAAAAAACATACACGTGGCTATGATGAACTTGTAGGCTATGATAGAAAATAGCTTTTGCGGTCAACAGAAAATAGGCCTTTCTCTGTAACATGCAAACAAATTCACAGGTAGGTGCAGGTGGTACCTGTTAATTATTCATTCAGCCACAGTCACACACACACATCCAAACACACCCACTACCCCTACTGAACAGTGAAAACACATCCCTGCCTCTTCACTCCGGCCCCTAATTATTATAGCATAATCATTACTAAACAACAATAGCAGCAGGGACAAATTCAATGAAAAATACAAGTTGAACAATTAGATCCCTTTTTGTGTATGAGAACAGTTCATTTTCAGTTTCCTTGAATGAGCGGGTTCTTCACATCTTCAAGTGTGGTCTGTGCCACAAGTCGTATTATTCAAAGTCAAGTCATGTCAAAACAAGTGATGTCAACAAGTAGTTCTATCAGATGTCCGAGGCTTCCTGAAGCACACAAATCTTGGTGACAGACCTGTCCAGACAGCTCCCCCTGGTGTTGATCTTGACTTGTGGAACGAGTCCTCTTTTATCTTGAACAACCTTGACAACTCTCCCCATAATCTAAGCGTTATAGTGTGCAGAGCCATCCACAACAAGCACAATGTCTCCTGGAATGAAGTTGCGCTTGATCTTGTTCCATTTTTGGTGCTCCTGAAGCTGTGGTAGGTGTTCCTTTGTCCATCTTTTCCAGAAATAGGTTGGACATGTACTGTATTTGTTTCCATCTACGTACAGCATACAAGTCGTCCTTTTGGAAAACACTCGGTGGAAAAGATGGCTGACCCTTGAGGAGGAGAAGATGGTTGGGAGTCAGAGCCTCTAGGTCGTTAGGATCTGCAGAGGCCTTTGTTATTGGTCTGCTATTGAGAATAGCTTCAGTTTTGCACAACACAGTGTGGAGGCCGTCTTCATCCAGAGTTTGTACTCTTAAAGTAGAGTTGAGGACTTTGCTGATTGAGCGAATTCGTCTCTCCCAGGCTCCCCCACGATGGGAACCACTTGGAGGGTTAAATCTCCACTTTATTCCCTTTTGTAGGAGTTCATCATGGATCTGAGCCTGATTCCACTGCTCCAAAGATCGTTTCAACTCTCTATCAGTGCCGACAAAGTTGATTCCGTTGAATGAGCAGAGTTCTTTGACTTGGCTTCGTCTTGCTATGAAGCGACTTCGGGTGTTGATGAAGGAATTAGTCTCCAATGATGCAGCTACTTCGATATGCGCAGCTCTTACAGCTAAACAGGTGAAAATCACTCCATATCTTTTCACTTTAGATCTTCCACATTTCACTTCAATAGGACCAAAATAGTCAACTCCCACTGAGGTGAATGGTGGTTCATCCGGAGAAATCCTGTTCTGTAGCAAATCTGCCATTTGTTGGCTGGCTGGTGCTGCCAGAACCTTTCGACAAACAACACATTTGGCCAGTATTTTCCATGTAGCCACACTGGCCCCAGTAATCCAGTATTTCTGGTGTAGCCTTGTCAACATATGTGTTCTTCCACCATGGCCGACTTCCTTGTTGTAGTTGCCTAAGAATAAATAGAGAATAGATGCAGCAGCTCCTTCAGGAGACAATGAAAATGAACATTTTGAGTGTCTTGTCTATCCCAGACGTTCATTCCTCAAAACTTGCAGTCGGGAGCCTTTGCTGGTCATCAGGACAGAGAACAGCGTTGGAATTGCAGCGATCGGTTGTGACGTGGACATACTACACCAACACGGAGTCCAATCACAGACTATGCCGGCAGTTACCCGAGAGAGAAGGAAGCACAAATGGTACAAATGTAAACGAAGGAGGAGGAAGAGAGCTGGATCCATGCTAGGCTAAAGGCTAACACCTCCAGACCAGCAGGGCCGTCCTCCTGCTCCCCAATGTCCGCTCCCTCCACAACAAACTGGACGAGCTACGTTTGCTGAGAGAAACCCTCAGAGAGTGGAGGGACTGCTGTGTGTCTGCTTTAACAGAAACATGACTCCATGACAGCATCCCAGACAGACAGACAGCTGGAGGGGATGCAGACAGACAGACAGCTAGCTCTGTGCAGCACCTGCAGCTTCACCATCGTCACACCATCGTGTGTCTTTGTGTCCCTGAAGACCTACCAGGACCTGAAGAGGTTCACCATGTTCAATGAATGGCGGCACGCATGGATGCAGCGCCCCCTTCAGGAGACAACGAAATTGAATGTTTAGTGTCCTGTCTTTCCCAGACATGTATTTCGTAAAACTTACTAATTAAATGATCCTGAAGAAAGGCTCTCTCATCTGGCCTGTACTACTGTGTATGTACAGCAAAATGACAATAAACCTGATTTGATTTCATTTGAAATGTGTAGATCTTTGGTCAATATGACTGGATGCTTCAACTCTTCAGGCATCGCTGCTCCCACCGACTCCCAAGATGCCATTGTCAAATACTGGATTTAGTCTGGATATGTGGCTTGTCTGGTTCACATTCTGATTCTTTAGGAGACTAGAGAACTCCTCTGCAAATCTTTTCCTTTGGCAAGATCCAACTATCTCAATCTGTGCCTCTCTTAACTCCTCCACAGTAAGAAAAACATGGAACAAGTCTTTGATGCTCAGCAGTTCTTTGCTCAACACATCCTTCTGCTCCCTCTGATCTGTCTTTGAGCGTGACAGCATCGCCGCAACCTCCTTCTTCTTCTTCCAGAGAGTTAGAGTCTATTTTTGAATCTTAAGACCCAACTCATCACTCTTTTCAAATGGTTCCAGGATGAGCTATGGTTAATCAATGGAGACACTGAGTCAGCTTCCGTTTTTACTGACATGGCATTAGCAACAATGCTTATCTTGACCTCAGGATCATCTTGGTCGGATGATTCTTGTGAACTGTCTGTATTTGTAGGCCATTGCTCCTCTGATTGTAGCAGAAATGATGGGCCACACATCCACAGCTCTAAATCTGGATGACTCATTTTTTAAAAATGTATTTTAGCACTAAAGTGCTATCAGTTCAAAAGACAGAGTTTAGCAAGGGCATCTGCAGCTCCCTTCTCCACAGTCTGTCCAAATAAGATCCTTCTATGGCTCAAAGGTTGATCTTGGATTGAAATACTAAACTTGAATGCATCTGATTGCACACACCACTGTGCACCCAGAACTTTCTCAACAGGAAGTGTGTCATGGTTCTGATCCATCTCCTTAACATCCGCTCCTCTTCAGGAATTGTAGCCAAAACATTTTGACTCTTGCTTATCCACTTTTTCAGCTGAAAGCCACCTATGGCACAAATGGCTCGAAGGTCGTGATGGAGAGCAATAGCCTCAGGCTTAGAGGGCCCAGAGACAAGACAGTCGTCCACATAAAAACTGTGCATCATGGTGTCCACCACCTGCTGACTGAAAGAGTTGCTGTAGGTAGGAGGGAGCTGTTCTCGTTGTGGTTTTTTGGGCAAGTGTCAGGATGTTGAATTTGATGTGGGCAGCAACTGGAAGCCAGTGAAGCGATCTGAACAGCGGGCTGACATGTGCTGTTTTTGGCTGGTTGAAAACCAGAAGTGCTGCTGCAAGGCAGTAGTAAGTTCCAATGATTTCCAGGACTCTCAATTTTCTATGATGGAATCATTGAAACACAGGAATCTTTGTCTTTGGTTCTTCAATAGATTTCTACATGTTATATTTACCAGATGTAATTATGGACTCTACATGATTCATTTGGTGACTGACTCCTGTTTTAAATGTGTTTCTTCTTCAGTTTCAGGAGCTGTTTCTGCACCTATCACCACTTTAGCAGGAACTGATGGAAAAGGAGGAGTTGTGCTGCAGTGTGAGTCTGCAGGCTGGTATCCAGAGCCTGAGCTGTTGTGGCTGGACGGTGAGGGAAAGCTCCTCTCTGCTGGACCTCCAGAGACAGTCAGAGGTCCTGATGACCTCTATACTGTCAGCAGCAGAGTGACTGTGGAGAAGAGACACAGCAACACCTTCACCTGCAGAGTCCAGCAGAACAACATCAACCAGAGCAGAGAGACAAGGATTCATGTTGCAGGTAGTTTGTGTTCAACTGGACACAATCCACGGTTCAGTTTATAATAAATGACACATTATTCCATGTTTTATCATTTCAGATGATTTCTTTATCGTCCAGTCCAGTTCCACCTCGACCACCATCGGTTTGGCTGTTGGTTTGGTTGTTTCTATCGTCCTGTTAATTCTAGCAGTTGTTCTTTTTGTTCGCACAAGAAGAGAAAACAGTAAGTCACACATTAATTACATTATTCTTGACCTTTACAAAGTATTTAATGTAAACTGTGATATAACAGATTTCATTTTATTCTTCACAGTGCTGTTAAGAAGTATTTGCCCCCTCCTTGAATTCTTATTTTCTTGAACCTCCCCCCCTTAAATGTTTAAGACCATCAAACAAATGTAAATATTTGACAGTTTTTATACAGTTTTTAAATGATGAGTTAATGTTTTAAGGTAAAGCTATCCAAACCTACCTGGTCCTGTGTGAAAAAGTCATCATTGTTAAACCATGAATTAACTGTCACTAATCACAGTTTTTGGAAAGCTGAGTTCAGTTTCACTGACCACACCCAAGCCTAATTACCTCCAGACCTGTTCCATCAAGAAATCACTTCAATAGAACCTGTCTGACAAAATGAAGTCGGCCAGAAGATCTCAAACAGCTGCAACAAAATGCTGCGATCCAAAGAAATTCAAGAACAGACCAGAAATAAAGTAACTGACATCTATCAGTCTGGAAAGGGTCACAAAGCCATTTCTAAAGCTTTAGGACTCCAGAGAACCACCCTGAGAGCCATTATCCACACATGGAGAACACATGGAACAGTGGTGGACCTTCCCAGGAGGCCGGCCGACCAGAATGACCCCAAGAGCACAGCAACGACTCATCCAGGAGGTCACAGAGGAACCAGGACAACATCTAAAGATCTGCAGGCCTCCCTGGCCTCAGTTAAGGTCAGTGTTCATGACTCAGCAATAAGGAAGAGACTGCAGGACAAACATGGCCTCCATGGCAGAGTTCAAGACCAGAACCACTGCTGACCAAGAAGAACATGAAGGCTCGTCTTCCTGTTGCAAACAAACATCTGAATGATCTCCAAGACTTCTGGGAGAATATTCTATGGACTGATGAGACCAAAGTTGA